GACTGAAGGTTTGTATGCAGCTAGCATGCACCTTTGCCAGTTTTGCTTGTTTCATGGCTGATCCGCGCTTGTGGATGTAACCCTGCTGAGACCTTTTCTCCGGCAGGTGCTCAAGCTCGTGGAGAACTGGACGGAATGGCAGGGCTTCCCAGGACAAGGTATCGTAAGCATCGGCGAATCTGAGTTACGCAAGCGAGAGACACCGCTGATCTCAGAGCCAAAACTTGGATCCTTCACTCTTGCAGCGGAACTGCAACAGAGAGTACCCCGAGCAACTGCCACAGCAGCTGCAACTAGCCTCAACTTTGAAGCAACATGACGGCTTTGCAGCAGCATGCTTAAGAGAACAGAGCGGTACAGTACACCATTGCAGATCACAGGATGCGATGTGCATTAGGATCAGATGTTCCTCTAAGGGCGCTGTTTCCACCTCGCTTCACGTTCGAGACCTAGTTTGCTCTCGACATGACCGGACTTCGGCCAAAGAAGCCATTGATTGCTTCGGGGCTATTCATTGAGAACTCTCTTGGTCTTTAGGGGGCGGCGCTATTGAGAACTGTCCGCGTCTTTGCGCTGTTGCTCTCTCAGGAAGGGGCTGGAGGCTCGATGGAGATGGAGGGTCTATGCCATGTGTTGGGTCATGCATCAGGGCGCATTTTGAGACCTGTGGCTTCAGGTGGGGTGAGCGGCAGTGGTGTCCATGCCAGAGATGGCAAGCTGTATGACTTCATACTCTCACCTGGTTGCGGAGATTTCTATTACCACCATTTCTACCAATTCTAAGTTGCTGCTTTCTTTATTCTCCCTGCTGCCTCCCGGAGGCGGTACTCTGCGGAAAGGCGCATGCGGCCGGGGAACAGGTCTCCAGCTCTGCTCCCGCGGCCGTGCAACAAGCACAGCAGCAGTGGGTGAACCTGGCGGACCTTGCAACACTTGAGTCGCCCGGCTGATGCACTGGGCTTGCCGTGAAGGGTGGTATAGGAACGACTCAAGGAAGAAATGGACGCACCAAAGTTATGAACATGCATCAGCCCAATCTCCAGAGTCACTAATTAGATATAATCACACGAGCCGTGCGCTACTAGTAACATGTGCTGATTGCATTGCTGCGGAAATTTCGGTCCGTTATGGAGCTTTCAAGAACAAGGTTTATGCTATGCTCGGTCAAGGGTGCTTCTACGATAGTGCTTCGGTAGATTGGGTTCCCGACAACTCGTGTGCGGATGTGGGGTGTTGACCTTGGCAAATGTTTGGATTGTTAGGAGGCGGGAGCCTCAGTCAGTGGTCTCGTTTGAGTATGCTGAACCTCTTCCGCCTGTAGTCAGCTTTCAGCTGTATCAAGCAATCGTCATCTGGTTTGATCATCATAAACATGATGCCGGCCAGATCAATCTGAGGCGGGCATGCCGGCAACGAGGCTTGTCGACCAAAGGCTTGTGCGTTTCTTGTAAAGTGCACAGGGTCGTGGGGTTTTAGACAGAACATTTCGCGGGGAAGAGCAGAGAGAAGCTTGCGGCTGAAGGGGGCAGAGAGCCAGAGAGCGCTCCCTTTTGGGGATCCTTGCAACTAGGGATCCTGGGATTTAACTTGGCATTGTTGCTCAGAACCTCCCGTGCTTGAGTAGCATAGCCTGGTGTCGCGTCAAGGGAAGTGCACACAGGGCGCACAAACGGTCATGCACACACACATGCAATATCTTCATGACGGATGAACCTGAAAATGCATCTCATCTCCTGACAAATAGAGGCAGGCTGCACAAAGTGCCAGGATATCTCGCTGCGAATTCTTATTCCTGTTCCTGAAGTCTCTGCAACCCCGGCACTGCATGGTGTTCTAAGTCCCTAGCAGGCAACCCTAGTCGCGAGTCGGCAAATGTTGAACATGGATGATTTGGGAGTGTCAGAGAATAAGAGACCCCAATATGTTCCCTACAAGTATGTAATTATGTATGTCTATATGTCTATATATATATATATACACATACACATACACATGTAACCCTTACGGAACCTAAATGAGTTTTCCTGAGTCGTGCATCGGGTAGTCAAAATGAGGTACTTCTGCTATTAAGAAACCCCCCGAAGATCGCGAGCATCATGCTACTTCTTTTGAAGCTGGAACAGGCAATCGGCAGCGCATGGTCGACCGGCTGTTCCTTGTCAGCACTTGGTCCTGGCTTTACCTGTGAGGGTTTCCAGTGGCGAACCGAGAAAACTCACCTGACGGCACCGGGTTCTGAGAGCCTAAACCTTTTAGGCAGGCAGTTACGTAATTCACAAAATTCACAAAAGGGCGTGTTACTTCTTTTTGCCGGGTAGGTTACTTCTTTCCGGGAGTCTCGTCCTCTATTGCCCGGGTGAGCGCCAAAATTGCAGGTGCCTCTTTGAAGCCTATTGGCCGCCTGACACGAGTCAGAGTTCAGAGCCGAAGTTGCCGAAGGACCGGTCAGAGACTATCTAAGGCAATTGCAGCACCGTCTATCCAGCTATCTGTCTATATATCGAACTATCGGTCTGTCTGTTTGTCTGTCTGTCTGTCTGTCTGTCTGTCTATCTGTACCTGGCTATCTGTTTATCTTTACAATATTTAAGTTTGTGTTTATATCTATCTATATCTATGTATATATATATGCATATGTATATGTGCATGTAACAAAGGTCTGTGCGTATGTTTTTGTTTGTTTGTATGTGCAAATGTAGGGGAGTTCGCTAGATTCGGGTTTGACATATACACTTTTGAGGACCCCAGGATCGACCCAAGTGAGAGAGCTATCCACGCACGCACACACACACACACACTGAAGCGGAACCCCAGCCAAGTGAAACCCTAAAAGCCGTGTTGAGGGATAGTGAACGCGCCATCTTTAGCCAAAGTGCTTTCGTCGTACCAGGAACCTCGCCAGGCTTGTCCCAGTTGTGAGTGCTGAAAAGCCGTAAGCCCTAGCACCCTACAGCCCTTCTGAATGTACTGGAGATGTATGGGAATTTGAGGATGAGGCCATGAAGTTTCCAGATGTATAGGAAGTCATGTGTACCTGAGGTGATCCCGTTGCTGTGGATCGAAGATGTAGATGCTCCAATATGGGGTATCTGCTAACGACGAAGGCCATATGTGCCTCTAAAGCCAACGCGCTTTTGCCACGTACCAGAACCCTCGCCCAGGCTTGTCCGAGTGTGAGTGCTGAAAGCCCGAAACACTTACGCTATATGGAAGGTGGAAGCAGCAAATTTTACACTGTAGTTTCACTCTAGAAACACACCAGTCACGTCAGGACAGGTCTTACGAGATCCCGAAAAGCTCTGTTTGGTCCGTCCGTGACACTTCTGCAGCATGCCGCCCTCTTTTGAGGTTGTCCTAATGTAGTTTTTGGTATTATGTGATTCCTGACTGTATATGAGCGACTGGAGTATTCAAGACCTATGCACGGGGGTCGACAGCTACGCCCGCTAGGCTAACATGATTTGCAGGAACCCATGTCGCACCGGCATGACGGATGTCCTTCCTAGTAGGTCGTGTGTATGTGGGGCTGAATTGTCCGAGCGTTAGCACCGAAACCTCGAAACCCTGAACCTTTATGCCATTCCTGACATTGACCCTCATACAAGCAGTAAGCCCTGTAGCAAGCCATATACTATTACTCTCCCTTAGCTTATAACACTTAGAAGAGGACTTGGGCCGTGACGGCAGCATCGAGCCTGGGCTTGATGGCGACCCAGCAGGGGAGGATGTAAAGACCGAGGAGCCCAGGCGGGGCCAAAGCGTCTAAAGCCTTGTCGTACAGGAGTCCATGGGGCTGATGGAGGATTGTAGAGTTTGAGGTTTTTGTGTTTCAAGGTTAGAGTTTCTATCGTTTTAACCGACGCAACGTCCACCCCCAGCCCGTGACTCAAACAAAGATCGACTCATCGTGCCTGCTTCCGTCGGTTATACCTCGAGATGGGGTTACAATGCATGACCTTGAGCGTTAGAGATGCGGTCGGGGACTCGACAACAGACATACCGAGCTGAACCTGTAAGAAGATTTTGACAATGTCTTGGCGAGGGAACTGAAGGTTCAGTTCTTTGTTGCCTAGGGAGCTCGGCTGAAGGGATTCAGGGCTTAGTGCATTGCAGTCCCTGCTTAAAGAAATTTCTTTGTCGCCTCGGAAGTGAGAAGCATAGTGGCATAGTGTTTCAGATCTGCAATGCCCCCTGTCAGATACATACAAGGTTTTAAAATATTGGCTTTCATCCACCACAGCTTCTTGGGTATCGACAAGTGATATGCGTTTCACACCAGCCTTGCTACCCTGTCGTATATGTCTTGCACCCTAAGGCCCTAAGGGTCCTGATGCACTAGGCTTTTTCGATCTTCTGCGAGGTGGCCGACCCACTCCTTGACTGTTCCGCTCTTTCCGCAGGGACCTCCGTGTAGTCCCCAGCTCATGAGCTCGGCCCTGCTGCCTGGAGCAGGTGCATGTAATGGTAGAGATTCCTTAGGGTTCCTTAATTCACTTGTAATAGGACATACCCCACAACCCTGTTCCAATGATTAAGGCCCCTATATTAGTCGGATACCGTAGTGCACAAGACTATGGTTTGCTGCCTCTGTAGTGGTACATGCGGGTGTTGACGTCTGCGTGCATTTGCCTGGGAAGCACACCCCGCACGCGTGTGCATGTGTCGTTCGCAGAGTGTCCGAGACTGTCAAATCAACTGTTGTTAAAAGTGTTGGATATGTTGATCGCTGCAGTTATTTTGCAATATCTCCTTCCTTTGTCAAGAAATGCCTTCCCAACCCACTGCTAGCACCGGAGCTGCGTGATGTGCACAGGTGTGTGTGTGTGTGTATATATATATAAGACTTGTGAGACAAATGTTCGCGCACCACGCAGGTACCAAACATGACGATACTCAGAGTTTTGTCGTGTTGCTTGCAGTGTTGCTTGGGCGCGCTCACCTGCACATCCTGCTGACGCCTGGAGCTTAGGCCACTTGCATCCAGCAGCAATCTGGGCGTCATGCCTGAACCAAAGCGGACCAAGAGGGAGAAGGAGGTGAGCAGATGCTAGACTGGATCTGGTGACGGCCGCAGCCTACGGCTGTAAGGCATTTATTCATATCGGACGCGGTGCAGGCAAGAAAGGAGCAGAAGAAAGAGCAGAAGAAGGATCAGAAGAAGGACCAGGCGAAAGAAAGCGACAAGAGCAGCAAGGCTTGTCCGGAAGATGCAGTTTGGCTCTTGCTTGCGGCCAGTGCCCTTTTCTGCACTTCCGAGCCACTTCTGAAGGAAGCTCCAAAGCCGGCCAAGGAGGCATCGAAGCCGAAGGAGCGCTGATTCATGTTGGTTTTTCTTCTAGACATGCAGAGGCTGCAGAGGCATGGGAGGTATGTGGCGACCGTAAGACTTTGTGAATGAATGCTTGTTGTTGGCCAGCTGTGGGTACCTCAGGAGGCCCAGAGCATGGATGCGAAGGATGCCAAGGCTGAGAAGAAAGGAGTTTGGAGAGACCATGAAACACGTGCCATCAAACGTGTAGCCTTCGAGCGGATCCTATTACCTTTCCCTGGCAACTTTTGCGCACCTTCCGGGGAGAAGTGCCTGCAATTCTCTTCTCGGAGTGGCATCGGGATGTCCCATACTGTCCATAAGGATACCAGTAGCGATGTAGAGGCTTTACCCGTCGCATCTTTTCCCCGTACATAGAGTCACTCAAAGTCATAACTTATATTGCTCGCACTGCAGTTCAAGTCCAACTTCGCAGGCAAAGGCCTAGGATGACATGTACAACCCTTCGTGGGCCTCTGTAGCACGACCTGGCCCAGCGCCCTAGCGGCTCAGCGGCAAAAACACAACTCTTCAATGGAAACCATGAACCAGAGAATGACCTGAACACACAAGGAAACAGACGGAATGATTCCCAGCAGCACTTGTTCTCAAACATGCTAGAAGTGTCTTTGCAACTTCCTGCGCGGCGTGGTCCGAGCAGCAGTCGGCCTTCTGCCTCCCGTGAGCACTCTGTCTTACAACCCCATTCGGTGCTCTCAAAACACAGATCCACGCAGCCCTGCTGCACAGGTTCAGAAGGAAGAGACGTCAAAACCCGAGAAGCAAAAGTCGCCGGAAGAGCTCCGGCGCGAGAAGCTTCGGCAAGTTGAGGCCTGCTGTCGCTCGAGTCGGATCTCGAGACTGTGGCGTTTATTCGGGTATCTATCTCACTTATCACCCAAGCTTATCCGTTTATTCCGTCCCCAGAGTGTTCGAGCAGGCCCAAAAACGGCTTGTTGCGAAGAGTGCAAGTTCATGGTCAGGCAGAGGTGGAGCGCTTCCGCCAGCAGCTTGAGAAGCAGCGCTACGAGCCGGAGGTTGCAGCTCCTGCATCGAATGCAATACACAGAGATTGAGACGGGCAAGTCAACACACTCGCCACCTTGGTCATCATCTTCGGCAGCAGCAGCTGCTCACAGACGCCGCTGCCACCAGCACCCACACCACCATCACCACAATCACAATCAGAGTAATACTCGAAACATTAATTAAGAAAGATACGTAGTGGTCGTCATCATAATACTGCTCATCACCACCTTCGTCACCACCACCACCACCACCACCACCACCATTTTAGCTTGTTACGTAGTGGTCGCAATCACAATACTGCTCAGCTCCAGCTTCTTCATTAACACCACCATCAGCACCACATTTTAGCTTGTGACAGTTGTGGATGAGGCAGCGATTGTCATGGGACGCTGAAAGGCACCACCTCGTAAAATAGCTCCATAAGAAGGTAGAGTAAGAAAGAACCTGATGAATGCACCGTTTAAGCACCTTCAATCACGTCGTGACAAGGCATCATTGAACTCGGGCGCAGAGCCTGGCTGAATGCTACCAGAGCATTTGCATGAAAACATTGTCTCAAGGTGGAGCAGTTAGTTAGACGTCGCTCACTCGTGCTTCGTCTGTGCTGCCACTTACTAAGTTCCAGAAGGTCCTATTGGAGAGGGTGGGTTTGTCATTGTGTAGTACTCCCACGTCTGCCGTAGCGACTTTGTAGTGATGAGTGACCCGAACGTGTCATGAGCCTTGGCTGTCTTGTGCGAGTTTGAGAGTCGAAACCGCTAGCGGTAGCGAACCTCACGACCGCTTGACTTCTAATTATTACCAATATTTTGTTAATTATTAGGCTTCAAGCCCAAAACCCTTTCCTAATTATGCTTTCCGGGACTGCGGTTGCGACTGGCCGGGCTGTGCTGCTTTGGTAGGTGGTGCAGATGAAATGCGACCGCCGCCGGATGGAGCTGCTTGAGGCAGCCGCGCACGAGGAGCCATATCTTATAGGTTTAGGGTTTAGAGTCTTGGAGGCACTTCAGAGAGACCTCGTTCATGTCACTCAATGGAGAGTGCCTCTGAGCACAAGGAGGAGTTAAAACGCCCTGCGTACTCGTAGCTGTCCGAGAAGCGCAATGGAGCTTTTGCGTGTTGTTGCACACCATGACTGACACCAGAGATGCCGGATTTTGTAAGAACCCAGCTCCCGTCGACCACGCGAATCGGCACAGCAGATGCCCTGCTTCAAAAGGAGTCTTTCTCGCTGCGACAGAAATCCGTCGACGCGGCGGCTGCAGGCAAGGCTCAGATAGGTCCATCGAGGGTCAGACAGCGCCATGGTTCACTTGCTGTTCGGCCTGGGCTGGGCTGTCTCTGACTTCAGCCTTTCCAGGTGCCTCGGAATCCCTGCCAGCCAGCAAAGACAAGGCCCAGACGAGGGAGCGCTACGTGCCTTTCCTCCACTAGCCGAAGCAGCAGAGGTGCAGGTCCTTCATGAGGCTGCATTCAGTGCTGAGCCTGGCAATCCGAAGTGGGCTGGCTGTGTAAACACCAAAACCGGTTTCGAGCCACGTAAATGTGCCGTCCCACCACAGCCCAAGCCCTAACACTATCAACATCCGTCGAAACCCGGCATATGATTCTCGAGGGGCTGGGGGCAACATGCAAGCCTTAAGGGAAAGGGGTGGCAATGCCAACAATGAGAACCGCCCACCTCAACAGCCACCATCTTTTAGTCAAAATTCTCATTCCCGAGCAATAGAAATCACAGCGTTCATCCCTCAATGGGAAGCCTCAAAAGGCTGCCGAGCAAGGCCATGCACATGATCTGACCAACATCGTCGGTGGTTTTTCTCTATTCAATGTTAATATCTGGCTCTACCATGATGATGGGCGGGAAAACATTGAGTGGAGTTTCCATGTCAGACCAGGAGGCAACCACATCGCAGCCTCAAGCGGCTGCCAAAGAGGAGGGCCCCAAGGAAGGCAAGGATGGTAAGCAGGCCGGGCAGGCGTGTGGTTTGACTCGGGGACGCAACCACAAAAAAGGCGTCCCCTGTCCCTGCCGCCAGCTTGTTCTCACATGCGCACCTCATGTTCCAAAGCCTTCTTAGCCGTGGAATGGTGTTGTAGGGCAAGACTTGCTTGCGGATCGCATCCGTAATAACCGAACCACCCTGCAGCCTACGGCCCGCCTCTCGACGAGCATTGAATGCAAAGGATAGCAAGTCAGGGAGGGAAAAGGATGCCAAAGACTCCAAGTCCAAAGATGGTCAAGAGACCAAGGCTTCCGCATGCCTGCGCGGTTTGAGGCTTTTTCATCCTCACTCTCCGCGTAATCATTGGTGTCTGTGCTGGAGTATTCACCGTCATTGCATTGTTTGTCTTGCAGTTTGCAGTTTACCACTGTTTTTGCTGCATACAGTCATGCTGCTCTCTATTCGGGTCATTTTTCTCTGGCCAGGCCGTGAAAGACTCAAAGCCACCAAAGGAAGCAGCACGTGAGAAGGTGAGATCGCTGAAGCCTGGTGCCACATGCATGGCTGCAGAGCGGCTGTCTGCAGGTCCGGACCGCGCCGCAGACGAAGGAGAGGGAGAAGGACAAGGATAAAGACAAAGACAAGGAGAAGGAGAAGGCCAAAGAGAAGACCAAGGAGAAAGAAAAGAGCAAACCCAAGGATCAGGCCGGGCCGGCGAATCTCCAGCGGTTGCGAGTCCAGTCTCCCATGCACAACCAGTCTGCCGGTTCCGTGCTGTTCTCTTACACTGCCTCGCTCCGCAGCCGTGCACAGACTGTCTGGACAAGATATAAGATGAGCCAAGATCTCAGTTTCAGAGAGTCAGTGGTTCTAATGACCGGGATGATGTCGACACGGGCCGTAGGACCGAGTCGGAAATTTATTCCAGCTGCGGAAGACATTTGATGCCAGCCGGCTCTGGCCAGGAGAAGGACAAGGATCGGAAGAAGAGGCTCGTGCAATGCTGTAGGGCTTGGAGTTTAGAGGTATTTGTTTCAGTCGAGTGTGGTTGCCCGAGTGTGCGATGTGGGAGTTGCTGGTGCCCAGAGGCAAACCCGCGTTGCTCGTTTTTTTCAAGTCGGCCTCAACACAGAAGTCGCCGAAACTGTGAAGGGCTGCGACGGGAACGTCAGCTGCCCGGATCGACTTGTAGAAGACAAGGTTTGGGCACCAGAGGGCACAAGCAAGTGTTGTTCCAACGCCGGTCTGTTCACGCTTGGCGGGAAGGCAGATCAGCAAGAGCTAGTTGTGGATCTCCAACAACAGGATGCTAGCACTGCAATCACACTTTGCGCTGGAACCTGGAGCCTCCAAGCGCTCATGCATGTGGGCGTTTCTGTCGAGCACGTTCTCATGCAGGCATCATGATGCAACGAAATTCCGCTACATCTGCGCGAGCTGTTGCATGGAACGCCAGCAAAATCGATACATGAATACATTGGAAGCCACCACCATCGACATGGCTGGACCAGTCGCCAACATACGGAACGCATCGGGTGCATCTGTCAGACCAAAACGCTTCCAGGACGAAGCGGTTTGCATTCAGCGAGTCCCATAGCAACCGATTTGTGTCGAACTGTTCTTGCATAGAGGCTTTTGGGGTTTAGAGGTTTCTGATACAAAAAAGGTGTCGGCTTTTGCGGTCTTGCGGCAAGGTCTTGTGCACAGGTCACATGTAGGGTCGTTGTTCCGATCATGTGAGTGCACACACGCTGAGAGATGCCAAAACCGACGAAGCTCAATGCACTAATGTGAGACCAGGTGCTGTGCCATCAATAGGGGCCGATCGCTTGTCTAAAGGCACATTCCCGAAACAAAAAGCCTGGAACATCTGTTTCGAAGGCTTCGACGTGCCATGTCCCGGTATAGGCTGCTCGCCCACTCTACCCACGATGATTGATCCTTCCAAACGGGATTCTTGCGACAGGAGCCGCGAACGTCGGGAGAGCAGCTCAAGCTGCAGCCGAAGCAGGCAGGTGCCAGTGTTTCGTACTCGCACATGAGGGAGTTTCGTTTGGTTCGCATACTCCAGAATCGTCTGACCAAGGTGCATTGCATGCAAGTAATGCTTGGACATTGCGGGTTCTGTTATCATTACAGTGCCTTCGACCCGCCTTCCCTTTAGCAACCGGTGCCACGCGACTGTAGGACAGAGTAGTAGCTTTGCTTCCCAGTTGTCGAGGCCAAATCCAAGGTCCTGTGCGGAACTACAACAATTGGTCCGTCCGAACGAGTCCCTTTATCATGCTCAGGAACCCACTGTTCACTTTAGTAGTTGAGCAGTAGCTGCTAAAGTCCTTTCTAAACCTTGACCAGATATCGACCATGCCTGGCCTGTGCAGTGCCGAGTACCTTGAGCCCTACACTCCTCCCGTTCCCGTTCCCTAAACCCTAAACCCTACCCTAGCGGCCCCACTCCCGTTCCACGCTGAAAAGGAAGCGGAAAGCCAGCCAGAGCCAGAGTCGCAAGAAGCGCTGAGGGCCTCCGGCCTTGGTTTCCAAAGGCTAGGAAGGGACATTGAAGGAAGATGTATGTTGTTAGTGCAACTGTTCTAGTCGAGCCACGCGTTGAGGCAGTTGTCTTCTGCCGGCTTCATACTCACAAGATTCAAGAAGTCATGTTCATCTTCTTGGAAGTTGCCTCCTTTCTCTTACAGTACCCAATCATGCCAGAGGACAGCAACAGGAAATCGGTAGTAGTCGACTCATAGGGCCATGGAGCAGGGAGCTTCTGCCGTGGCTGTTCATCTTTACTTCCTAACTCAGATCTTCACGACAGTTTGTACAGGCTCGCAGTTTCCATTCAGAACTAGACGATAAGATGTGGTAGAACAGAAGCGTCGTGCGCACCCTTGCAGGCTCGTGTGTTTCTAGTGAGCCTGCGAGAAAACAGTGCGGAGTTGCAGCGCGCTGCTGCACCGACGTCGGGAAAAAGACACGAGCAGCACGTCGGGCTGTAAATCAATTCCTCCGGCTAGCTTACATCATTTATGTTTTGCCAGGTTTTCATCAATCGTGGCCAGTTTGGGTTGTTAAGTTTCGGCCTTTGTGATGAGAGGCGAGGGGCCGACTCGTCTTGGTATCTACCATAACTGAACGGAACACCTGTTCATGGACTGGCTGTCTCAAGTCTCTTCGAACCTTGGCTGGCTTGCCCGCGAGCGCAGAAAGCCCTGAAGTGTCTGAGGCGAAGCTTAGTGCAGTTGATGATGCCGCTCCCTCAGAGACCTCAAGGGCCGGTAGACACTCTGTTAAGAAGTCTTCGGCACGGACCACACACGGCTTTGAGATGCATTTTTTGTCGGCTCGGAGTGAGGATTGGGGGCCAAGAGCTAAGAGTTTATGGCTTCTAGACTTTTGAAAGGGTGTAGGGTGGAAATTGCATTATGCCATGGGAAGCAAACTTCGCACGTCTCATGGGCGACTGAACCGGACGGAGCAAGGCTGTCTCGGATTGCAGGTCCCGCGCATGTCATAGGATGTGATGCCTTATTTTGCTCAAGCAGTGCCTGTGGCAAAGTCTGCCTGAATGGTCACTTTCCCGTCACGTACTACTTACTGCAGCCTATTCAGCTGTACTTACCGAGTGTAATTATTGTCAGACACAGTGTCGGAAAATGTGCTACGAACCGACAAACAAGCACAAATGAATATACTGTGCATGTGCACATATCATATCGTCGCAAGCTTTTTCTGGAATATTAAGAGCTGAGTAGGGGCGTGACCATGGTTTTTCTGAATTACTCAGAATATAGTCACCGCACATGTAGAATCCGAGTGCGGCCATGGCGGACAAGTATGAACTGCTCCCTGCTGATGCACCCGCCGGACACATCGCGCATAAGCGAGTGAGGCCCCTCGCGTGGGTTGAGGTCTTGACTTGAGGCTTGCGGGTAGATCCAGATATGACCTTTAAGTTTTCAGCTAGGCATCCGAGCGAATGCCAACATGGCTGTCCGACAAGCCCTCACCGTGACCCGATCGTGTTCTCGTGTTCTGTCTCGAAATCACCGGCAGGTTTGATGCGAAAGACGGGAATCGTGCGATGTTCCGCTTCAAAGGACAGCATTTTCAGACCTGCACTACAAAAGCAGGCACGCGCCACGCTGCCGAGGCCGGAAGCATGAAGTCCTTCCTGACTCGGCTTGCGACACTGTAGTTTCAAGCCTGCTGAACTGGCGGGTGTTATGCCGCCTCACCCAGTGGGACCATCTGGATGCAGCGGCAGAGAGAGAGAGAGAGAGAGAGAGAGACAGAGGCGAGCCGTCGGGGGTCGGCCGTCGGGCCAAGGGTCTTCCGGGACCCTAAACCCTGTGACGGAATTGTGTGGAGCCTTGCCTGCCTGGTGCGAGTGTGAGAGTCGAAACTCCTTGCAGGTGGCAAGCTCAGACCCTCGACCGCCCTGCCAGCCGAGTGCGAGTGTGTGAGTCGAAACCCCTTGCAAGCAGGAACCCACCTACATAATCCTACATAGGTATGTCCTTTTGACCTGCACCAACTATTCATGACGGAAGCCATGTCCTTGAGAGTGTACGCTCATGGTTGCGCTTTGGCAAACTTTTGGCTATAGCCGTACGGTCAGGTACACTCGTTTCTCATTTCCCAAACCCGGTAAATGTTCGGGCAGGTTTCACGGCCAAAAAACTTGACCGTCCCCTCTGCCCTCTGAGAGAGCGGGACGGAGAGAGAGAAAGAGGAACCCATCCCGGCAACCTCTGCCCACAGCCCTGGCGAAAGAAAAGGAACCCATCCCACCAAAATGGTGGATCGGGCAGCTTTGACGAGCGGGAGGTAGGATCTGCATGCCTCCCAAGCCCCTGAGCAAAGCAAAAAGAGAGCGCGCACACCCCTATATATGGCAAGCAAGCAAGTAAGCAAGGTGCTGAAGCGTGAGAAAGAGAGAGCGGAATAATTACTAAAGTACATGTTGTTATTGGTAAGGCAACCCCGTCGTCACGACCATGGGGTTTATTATCCATGCTTCCGGGCAAGCTGCATGGCCAGGTTATAGCCCGTGCATGTTGGATGCGCTTCGAGGATGGGGAGGCCGCAACAAAAAGCGGGCCGTCTTTGTTAAGTATTTTGCTTTGGCAGATATCGCTCAAGCACGTATGTAACAATACAATATCGGTTCAGTCTCACAACAAAGATACATGGGGACAAGACAGAATTTGCACCTAATGGCCCTGCAGGACAAGGACGCTGTCACCGCGTTCCGCAATCGATGCTACGAAGTGGTGAGTTCGCATGACGCTGAGTCGGCCAAGCGGCCACGAACCTCCAGGCCAAGCTTTCCCAAGCAGCAAGTCATCACTGTTCCAATCGCGTGCCAGTGGTGGTAGTGGTGGTTGTGATGGTAAGCGTGGCGGTGGTGGTGGGGTAGTGCTAATAGTACTAGTACTACCAGTAGTCCGTGCTGGCAGAACTAGTGGTAGTAGTCGTCGTCGTGCCAATGGTACTGCTGCTGCTGCTGCTGCTGCTGGTGTTGTTGTTGTTGTTGTTGGTGGTGGTGGTGGTGGTGGTGGCGGTGGCTGGCATTGTTGGCGTCGTCGTCGTCGTCGTTGTTGTTGTTGTGATTGTTGTGATTGTTGTTATTGATGTTGTTGATGTTATTATTGATGTTGTTTCTTGTTTGTTGTCTGTTGTGTCTTGTCCGTTGTTTGTTGTTTGTTGTCATTGTCTTCGTCGTCGTCGTCCTAGTCCAAGCACTCGAGCTAGGAATCCCTCCATCTGCGTGCACAGGCCGAATGATAACAAGGAAGTCATGCAGCTCGACATGATGAGGTATAGACTTGGCTTGCCTGCCACGTCCGCCGTCGATCCCTGCGACACAATGGCAAGCGAAGAGCTTCACAGCCTTCTTCGCAGGTCGTCTGCGAGAAAGCCCTTCTAAGAGCTCCAAGAGGTCTCCATGCAGGAGCCAGGCTCCACAGTCATCAGGGTCTTGGATGAGTTTGTCAGATCCTTTTTCGTCGATTTCACGAACGCCGCTCAAAATGCAGCGGGTCCCAAGAAATTCGCTACACCTGCATTCACCGGAAGCAGAAGAAGTGGTTCGAGATTCAGATGTGCTCTAGGCTGACATTCTGCGGTGCCCATAATGCATATTGGGTCCAAAATTTGCAGACAGCATGCCTGGACAATTGGTTATGGTTTTGCGGCTGCCCACAGCCCTTGGACTCAAGCTGTACATAGTTGCGGACAGAAGAACGAAAATATGCGCCTTCCCATTCACGAGCATGGTGACCTGGTTTACAAAGGTGTCGGCACGGACGCCTGGGGCTGCACACCCACGACAGATAAATGACGAGACGGATGGGATTACAGAATATTACAGATATGTAGAGGGAGAGTGAGAGATGTTTTGGAAGTTTGGACAAGATCCACATAGTAAGACGGGAGACCCCAGATGGGGCCAAGCTTCAAACCTCGCATCCGATAGACACAGATAGAGACTTGCAGCATGTCACTCCCCTTGAAATCATCCGTACGTACGTATGTACGCCTATACGTACGTATGTGTGTATGTATGTGTGTGCGTGTGTGTGTGTGTGTATGTGTATGTGTACGTGCTGTGCGTATGTACTCTGTGTGTGTATGTGTATGTGTATGTCCGCATTCATTGACGTACACATGCATGCATGTACATACCATGTTATCATATACATGCATACATGCATGCATGCATACATACATACGTAAATACATACTGTACGTGTGTATATGATCTGAAGCTGGGAAGATTATACATTTCTTTCAGCTACCTACATGTGCACAGCCTTCCGCAAGGCCACGCTCACCGAACTGCCAAAGCTCAGCGACCGGGAGCAAGAGCAAAGGCTCGAAGCCACTTCCCTAGCACTTATGCATCTTCGAAGGGCACTCGGTTTTGGAAGCACTGTTTCTTGTTAGGGTTGCTCGGGAGTTACTCACGTACATTAGACGCTCTGCAGGGTTGTTCAAATGATTGGTGCTGTAAGCTTTCAGGCCACAGGCGCTCAGATGCTTTGCAAGAGTGGAAAGTCCGCAACCCGGAACCCGAAAGTTTCGATTGGGGGCTCTCCAGCTACTAACCATGCAGTTGGAAAAAGGCGTCAACAAAAAAAAAGTTTCGATTCGGGCTTTGTCCTTGCGAAGTAGGATCCAAGAATAGGAGGCAACAAGACCCCAAATCAAGCAACGAGCTTCTTGTTGTTGATTGGCCTCGTGTCTCTACATGGCCAGCTCACACTTTCACCCCAGCAGACCTACTGGACCCATGCATCGCCTGATGAGTCCCAGTGTGAGCGTGGAACAGGTTCGTCCGAGTGTGAGTGCTGGAAAACCCTGAACCCCAAGCCCCAGACCTGTAAGCTCCACACAGTGAGGCCGCCGCTTCACACGTGAAGTTTCCAAGTCAGCAGACTGCCGATTCGATTCCCGAGAAAGTTTCGAATGTGGAAGCTCGTTTGCTTATCAGAGAGGGTTGGGCATGTTATAGTAGGGGGCTGAATCAGAGTTCAGTACAGTGCCGCTTGACGGGGGTATAATCAAGAAGAGTACTGCTAGCAACTAGTAACTAGTATTGCGAATTCTTCAGACCTCCATATTCCTGTCGTTTGTTATGACCGTGCAATGCTGATGTGGCACAGTGTTTAATTAGGTGACCATCTTTGATGCATTTCTTTCGGGTGCTTATCCTGTCTTTTGCATGTTCTGGGCCGTCCTCTATAATGCGCCAAAATCGCACGGATGCTTTTTGTATCTTTCTTTCAGCAAAATTGTGAATCTGAATTCTGAACTGAGAAGCCGGAGCTGATCTTGGAGTGATCAGGTTATGGGGCCCCCCGCAAAACCCTCCTACACAGCTCTCGGTACCTCTAAACTCCAAGCCCTCCTTCCGTACTACCGCTGTACTACACATGTATGTGTTATCACAGTACTACTGCTGCACTACTGCTGCTGTCCTACTACTGTACCACCACTATACTAGTTCCAGATTGTTGCTGCACTACGACTATTACACTACTACTGTAGACGCTGCTGTATTAATACGGTGCTACTTTACTACTGCAGTACACATTTCTGAAGAGCCTACATAAACCCCTCTACAGTGCACGGACGCACCAACCCAGCACCCTTCTTGTCATTCTCACTCCCTTTGCAGCACAACCCCCCCGATGCAGCGAGCCTTATTTTGCTGAACTCTTTTGAAGGTAGACCTTCTGTGGAAGTTCTATCATCAGGCCAAACCTAGACTTTGAGCAGCGTCCGAGCCAACTCTGACCCAACTGCAACGAGGACAAAGCATCCTCTCCCGAGACGGCGAATTCGGCAGCAGAGAACGTGGCAAATCGTAAAGTCGAAGACGAGGCTGCTCGAGTGAGCATCACAAAATACCCTCAAAAAGCTGCGTGCAGAGCGTTGACGCTGTCACCGCAGAGGCGTCAACGACGACGGCAGAAGCCAGTGATGCGACGCCCACCAAGGCCGTTGAGACTCCTTGCTTCCATATCCTCCTGGGATGTTAAACTGGAGCAACTGAGGTCAAAGCTTCTTCCAAAGTAGAAAGGCAAGCCTCCTCTTCTGAGAAGACGAAGGCAGCAGATGCCGCGGCCAAGCCGAACATCAAAGAAGAGGCGCCGATGCCTTCGGTAGGACAAAAGCTGACATTTGTTTGGCACTATTGTGGCCTTATTCCTGCATGCCGCGAAAAGTGAGTG